AACCGTTGGCTCAGTGTAGGTCGGACTCATCTACAGTYCTGATAAATTTCATGTTGATAAGTGCGGCTGTTTCTGTAGTTGAGCAAAAATCACTGAAAAAATAAATAGAAATAAAAAATGAGCAGTACGAACTCAGTATGACCCCTCCCCCCTCATATGTGGGGGTCATAAATATACGTTTTTAAGTTTTGTAAAGTTTTCACTCCTTGTACGTGACCAATCCTCAGCTGGGAAAGACCCGGTTCTGTTCACAGCTTCTGGCAGGAAGACGCGCCTCACAGACACAAAACAAACAAAAATCACTTCAGTTATTTTATTTTCTGCTGCAGCTTCTTTTGAACTTTTCTTTTTTCTCTTTCTTTCCACACAAACAACGAGCGCGCTCGTTTCCTCCGTCGCTGTTTTTCCTGTCAGCAGTTGTCGTGAAACGGAGGCGGACGCTCAAACCGACGCGCAGATCAAAACCTGGCGGTGAAATCGCTTTCTTTAGTTTACTGTGCGAAGCCGCTGAGCCGAAACGCCTCTTTGTTTYTCTTTTCTTTTCCCAAACACACAGATTGAAATAAATATTTATATTTTTAATTATTTTCCAGCTTAGAGGAGGAAAGATGAAAGGAAATTAACTTAAAGATGTAAAACATGAAGTGATTTCTGCAGTGATTTTAAAATCTGTAGAGWTTACTGCAGAATATTAGTTCTTTAAACTCTAATTTTGATCAAATGAAACTAAAGTAAATAAAAATATTCCTCAACCAGCCCCAAGAAAAGCTCTGTTCCCAGCTGTTGTCCCGGCGGTCGGTGGGCTTTTTCCAACTCAGCGCCGACTTGCATCTGAAACAGGAAGTGGGCCGATATCCCCTCTGGGACTCCACTTCCTCTGAGCCCCTAACACCACAAGCCCCGCCCACCTGAAACAAGCGGCCCGTTCAGCTGGAGGCCAGATATCCCGAGCTGCGGTGGCGGCGAGGAGGGGGAGGAGGGGACATTTTTAGCGTCTGAAGGTTTCTGTGCTGAGACGGGTTTAGCGTCTTCAGACACCGAGCCCCTACAGGTCATTAAAACAACGAGTCATTTCTCAGGAAAACTACAGACATGTCTGCTTTCTTTGTGCTGTTTTAGCCTTTTATTTATCAAAACCTTTGGCTGATTCAGAAAATCCCTGCTAGGACATTTGGGTTTGTAATTTTATAAAAACTTTGACCTTTTTTCAAAATAAAATCCCATTCATGAAGACCTCTGTTCCTTCATAAACATTGTTCTTTGTAATCTGCTTCAGCTACTTCCTGTTTATATATTTTTATCTATTTTTCAGCTTTTAATGTTTTGCTACTTTTAGTGAGACTTTTACTTTTAGCTGTAGATTAGACTTTTGATGTTTTTAGCCAGAAATGTGATACTTTCAGCCTTTTTGTAGTTTGTTCTATTCTACCTTTAGCTTCTACTAGTTAGGATGTGTTTTCTTTAGCTTTTATCTAGCCTACTTTTAGCTAATCCTAAATTAATTTAACCTAATGCTACTTTAAGATTTTAGCTAACATTTTGTTGTTTGAACTAACCTCTTGCTGCTTTTACCTAACCTTTAGTGTTTTTATATTATATTTGTTGTATTTAACCAAAATCTTACTGCTTTTAACCAACATTTCTTGCTTTAAGCTAACTTCTGGCTGCTTTTAGATTAATTTTCTAGCTTTTAACTAAGCTACTTTAGCTAACATTTGTTGCATTTAGCAAATTTTTGCTGCTTTTACCCAAACTTTTGCAGCTTTTATCCAACTTTTGCAGCTTTTATCTAACTTTTGCTGCTTTTACCCAAACTTGTGCTGCTTTTAGCTAACCTTTTGCTGCTTTTAGCTAACTTGTTCTACTTTTATTTAACTTTTGCTGCTTTAAGCTAAACTATTGCTGCTTTTAACCAACCTTAAATTATTTTAGCTATCATATGCTGCCTTTAGYCAAACCTTTGCTGCTATAAACTAACTGTTGCTTTTAGCTAGTCTTTGGTTACATTTAGCTTCTAATCATTGTTTTACCTTCTAGCTTTTATTKAGCTATCCACTACAATCATTTAGCTAATCTTTTGAAACTTTTATCTGTTTTAGTTTATTTTAGCTTTTTACTACTGCAGGTTTTATTTTTGACGGTTAGAGCTGATGGTGGGAAGAAAACCACCCAGAAGTTTTAGCTGCACCAAGTTCTGATCATCCTGATGGTGAACTAAAGCCAACAGATTTTCACTGAAGCGCTGCTTAATGAGCCTCAGAGTTAAACTGGAGACTAAACTGGATCTTTTGTCTCAGGTCACATCAGTTCTGCGGTTTTTGTTTGGATTATTGTGGAACAGCAGCAACATATTTACGTGCATCTGTGAGTTGTGCTCTTTTATTTGCAGTGGTTGTAAACAGGAAAACACATGGCAGCAGGCTGCAGGAATGTGCCGGGTGTCAGCACATGTGTGCGCCACGCCGCCGTCCCTCCGCCGCCTCCAGCTCCAGACGCATCACCTGCAAGGCGAAAACCAACCGCCGCGCCGCCAGCAGGAAACACGAGCCGAGCCTGCTCACGGACGTGATCTAAGAACGTTAGCTGCAACCGGTTAGAGCTTTGAGTATGTGTTAGGTATGACTCTCAGCTACTACCATGACACGTTTAGCTTAATATCTTTAAAACTCTCTAAGCTATTAGCATTTAAGAGCTAATGTCCATTAGCTGTGGCAACCATATTGAATTGATAAAACTTCAACGGTGTTCATCAAATAATTGGTTCAAGAGATATTTTGCTAACAGACACATTCGACACTGCTGTTTTGGCTTTTAGGCCACATCTACCTCTTCAGAAAACAGCTAAAATTCTTTATTCTCGTTCCTGCTTCTCGAGTTTATAAAGTTTGCAACAATCTGTAAATCAGCAGCCGCGGTTCTTATCTAAACATCCTGATGTGGATCAGATGTGCCACCAAGAGACCCATGAGAGCCAGCCGAGGCTCCGCCCCCACACTCCAGAACCCACAGAGTATCAGCCGAAGCTCGGCTGCAGACGGGGAGCTCATTAAACCCCCGTCAACACTTCTTCTGCTCGCTGAAGTTCTCCAGGATCAGCCGAAGAACTTACCCCCCACCCTGACTGTAGCTAAAGAGGTCCTCAGATGGTGGACCGGTCTAGACCCAGACCCAAATAAAGTCTTATCTGGACTAAAACTGATTGTTATTCAAATGAAACAAAAATACAAACACACAGCTAAAAAAAACAGCTTAAAGCAAAGATCAGTACTTAAAAGCAAAGAAGTAGCTAAAAGCTAAGACCACATTAATAGCTTAAATCAAAAATTATACAAACAGCAGCTAAAACAAAGACAACAAAAATAACAGCTTAAAGCAAAGATAAGAAGCTAAAAGCTAAGATGACCAAACAATAGCTTAGAGCAACGATCAGTAGCTAGAAGCAAAGCAGCTAAAAGCAAAAAACAGCAAAAAGGCAGCTAAAGAAAAGATCATCCAAAGCTAAAAACAAAAATCATCCTAACAGTAGCTAAAAGCAAAATCCAGCAAAACAGCAGCTAAAAGCAAAGCTCATCCAAACAGTAGCTAAAAGTAAAATATAAGTAGATACAAGCTAAGATCATAAAATAATAGCTTAGAGCAACAATCCATAGACAAAAGCAAAAACCACAAAAACAACAACTTAAATCAAATATCAACAAAAATCAAGCTAMAATTGAAAAATGCAGCTTGTTGTCTAAAGTTTATTTCAAAGTTTTTAAGGGTTTAAAGCAGTTCTTCATTCATCTCAATGAGAGAAATGAAAAATGATAAAAAGGTAAATATTTCCATAAGTTACAAAAACCAAAAGTCACAGCTGTAAAGTCCAGAACAAGCCGAACATTTTCATACAAACAGCTGAAAGTGTGCAGAAGTAGTTAGACGCTTGCACTTCTTTCAAAAGAGTGTCTGTAAGGAGTGTGTGTGTGTGTGTGTGTGTGTGTGTGTGTGTGTGTGTGTG